CCAAGTGTGAGAATTGTGACAGTGTCCACTGGCAGCGTCAGCAATCTTCCGTCCAGGTTCGTGAGCCCGAAACTGGGGTTGAAAAAGTGAAGAGAAAATGGCTTCAACGCACAGGCCCTCAAGTGTACCAACACTCGGTTGCTGGATGGGGGCTCGAGTAGCTCAAGAACGGAACAGATAGCAACGAAACATGCAGAGATGCTAGATTGCCCCCGCAAAGAACAACCGGTTGCGAATGGTCATGAAGAACAGCTACCTTGCACTGGCGATGAGCCTCGGCTTTGCAAGAAACGCCCCGGTGCTGACATGGGTTGTGGCTACACTCAAACAACGCAGGATTGGTTCAACGACCTTGTCAAAGGCAATGTCGCCGAGCTGCAAATCGCCACGAGTGGAAGTGGCAAGGCCTTGATGTTGTTTGCAATCTTTGTAGTCTCTGTAAAAATCTGAGATCCTTGAGGACTCATCTTCTGATGTCCGTGTTTTGGTCCAAGGTGGAACACAAACTTGAAACGGTTTGGTAGATTGTAGCAGCTTGGTAGTGCTGCATGTTTTTGCCTTGTAGGAGCATGTTTCACGGCATGTTAGTGTTGCGTGTTTGTTTTTGCATGGTTTCCAGTTGAGAGCTTTGAGCTGCCGTTAACTCACTTCGTGCTTGCCGTCCTTCGTTCGTACCCGGATGGAGTGATGATGAGCTCGGAAGATTGCTTAGAGGCTTTTAACAGTTGCCTCAGTGACGCAAGGGAGCTTTGGAAGCTGAACTCTGTGTTTGAAGGGTCCACACTTGTCGGTGTAGAGTTTTCCACTGTTGCAGTGTTGTAGAATGGAATTTCGTTGCTGTGCTGTACGCAGCCTGCTCAGAAGCAACTTCGCTTTGGCTCAAGTGAAAAAGAGACCGCTGCGCGAGTTCTGCTTTCACATGGTAGCGGAGCATCGTGCTCCAGGGGTGATTGGCGTCTCGGCTTCTTTGTCGCAATGGCGTCTGAAGGAGGAGCACCGGCGAGTCAAGTGCCAGTCCCCGACAAAAAAACCGGAGGAAGAGTTCGACTTGTTCGGACCTGGCCCTGTTGGTGCTGCTGAGAACCCGTTTACTCAGCCTGCACCGACTGCAGCTCAGACTTCGCCTGCCGGAAGCCCTGCTGGAAGCCAAGGAAGTCCTTTTGGACCATTTCAGCAGGCAGCTGGTAGTGCTGCTGCTGCTGGAGTTCCTCCCGCTGCTACTGCGAGCGCAGGAGCAGACTTTCAGAGCATCATGTTAGAGATGCTTCGTCAACAGAAGCAGACGACCATGGAAATGCTGCGTCAGCAAAGTTTGGCGATGCAACAGAACCAACAGATGTGTGCGGCGATGCTTCGCTGTATGGATTTGGAAGAGAAGCGACGAAATGAGGCTGATGAGAAGGCAGCAGAGACTGCTCGGATTGCAGCTGAGGCTGCATTGAAGGCCAAGACTGTGGACCCGTTTGTCCCAGCACCTCCTTCGTCTTCCTCTGCAGCACCCACTGTTACCGCGTCTTACACTCAGAGTGTTCCGCAGAACAGGGCAGAGAAGTATCTGCCTAACTTGCCGGTGATAGATCACCAAGGCATGAGCAAAGGACGCATGCGAGAAGTGGAGTGTTGGCACAGCTTTCTTGAGACGCTTAGTTCGTGGTTGGCTTTGCAAGACGAGGCCTACGTGAGAGAACTTCAGTTCTGCGTGAAGACCAAGCATGAGATTGATCAGGCGAGTTTGGCGGCAGATGTTGCTGCTAGGAGCGCGAAGCTCTTCTACTACTTGACTCAGTCCCTTGCCAAGTGGGAGAGAGGCCTGGAGCTTCTCCGGTCTTGCTCGAAGAGACAGGCTCAGAGTGCCACTGGGTACGAGGTGGTTCGGACGATCAATGCTCAGTATAGCATTGTGTCCAGAATGGAAGCAGTTGTTGTTCGAGAGCACTGCTTGAAGTTGCACCAAGAGTGCAAGAACATTCGCCAACCCACCGACGTGATCAGGCACCTTGAAGATGAGTTCTCTAGAGCGGAGTCAAAGTTGACCAATTTCGCAGAGCTGAAGCTGTCTGAAGCAGATAAGTGCAGTGTTCTTCTGCAGGCCCTTGGGCCTCAGGTCCGTCAGTATGTTTTGCTCCATGGGAGCTCTTCTGACTGGAAGGCTCTCACGAAGAGCCTCACGTACTATGAGGAACAGCTGCGTCTGTGTGAGGTTCCCTCAAGCAACAGGGCGCTGAAATGCGCTGAACACCGATCTGCTTTGCGATCACTGTGGAAAGCGAGGGCATCTCAAGAAGGATTGCTGGAAGTGGAAGAGAGAGCAGAAGAGTGGAGAGACGCCGAAAGGCAAAGGAAAGGGCGACAAAGGACCTGGAAAGGGCAAAGACACGCCTAAAGGAAAGGGAGATCAGCCGAAAGGACCTCCTGACCCCAAGGGCAAGGGCAAAGGAAAAGATCAGAAGGGAAAGCCTCACAAGAAGAAAAAGCCGAAAGGTAAAGGAAAGCACGGTGCAATGGACGGAGAGGAGAGCGAGCCCGAGTCTGAAGCCGGATCGGCCACGAGAAGTCAGTCGGTCATGGCCCTGCGGCTCGGCTCTTGGACCTTTTCGAGACCTGATCGAGCGCTGAGCCCACTTGGGGGCCGCGGGGTTTTTGAGAAGAAGTCTGAGAGTAGCGTTTCACCTTCTGAGAAGGGTGAGTGCAACTTTCTTCCTGCCGCGTCGAAGTATGAGGCTGCTAGGATCTGTTCTCAGCATGGTGTGGACCCTAGAGATCTGTGGCTTGTCGATTCGGGGGCGACGTGTCACGTCGTCGCTCGTGAGTTCCTTAGCTCCTTTCGTGTCGTGAAGCAGCATAGCCAGAAGCCTGTCCTGTACAACGCGTCTAGCGATGAGATTCCTGTGCATGGCCTCGTTGACCTCGAGGTACAATTCGGGAATCTGAATTTAGTTCTTGAAGAAGTGGTGGTAGCTGATGTTGCCTTTAATGCTTTGAGTCCTTGGTCGGCCTGCGAGAGAGGTTGGAGCACGCATTTGTTCAAGAACGGGGCACGGATGTTTCGAGGGAAGCGGTCTGTGAGACTTTTGGCCGCGAATCGGGCTTGGTGGGCGGTTTCGGGGCAACGTCTGAAAGCCCAGAAGCCCAAGAAGGCTGCGGAAGACATGGAACTCGATAGGGTGTCTTGCTCGTCGAGTGCTTCAGGAGCTTCTGTTTCAGGACTGTCGTCTGCAGGAGCCCCAAGAAGCAAGGAAGCAAAGGAAGAGAAAGAAGAGGCAGGAACCTTAGCATCTGGAGCGCCTTTGGAGGCACCGCCGGGTTTAGGGGAACCTGCCGCTAGCAAGGATAAGCCGAGAAAGAAAGCTTCTGTTAAGAAGCTTGCTGTGAGTGACACCCCTTTTGCCTTTCTTGTTCGTGGTCTTAGGGGTGAGCTTTCTGTGCCACCAAGGTCTAAGGAGAACAGTCCTGAAGAACCGGTGCAACCAAGGCCTAAGGAAACCAGTCATGAAGAACTTTTGCAGCCGATGGCTCAGGAAACCAATGCAACTTTGAACCAGCGTGTTTTTCATGATTGCGCTTGGCATGATTTTCTTGACCTTGCTTGGTAACTTGGTAGGAGCCTTGCTTGGTAGCTTGGTAGAAGCCTTGCTTGGTAGCTTGGTAGGAGGTTGTGCTTGCGACTTGGTAGGAGTTTTGGCATGGCTTGAAAAATGTGCTTTGTTGGTAGGCAAAACTATGGCATGCTTGATTTTCTTGGTAGCTTTTGCTTGCAAAGGTAGCACTGTGCCCGGTAGAGTGCTTGTTGCAGTTCTGATTTTTGGCGCGATCCTCAGAGTGAGTGCCACTGAGCTGTGCAGTTCACCGTTGCGCTTGGATGCTGAAGATAGCTTTGAGTCACAACGGTGCGGTCTGTGGTGTAAGCAGCCTGTGTTTGCCTCGAGCTCTTTATCTTTCCGCCCAACGACAGCCAGTTGTGTTGCCTGGGGAAGAGGCAGCAGAGATACCAGTTGCAACACCCGAGGTGTCTGTAACTCCAGCAACGCCAGAGGTAGCTTCGGCTACAGCAGCACCAGAGGTATCTTCGACTACAGCATCACCAGAGGTAGCTTCGACTACAGCAGTGCCAGAGGTGTCTTCGTCTTCAGCAGGACCCGAGGTACCTTCGACACCCGAGCCTGGCAGGGTATCTCTACAGAGGGCTTTGTTCGAGGCGTCAAGGAACTTGTTGCCGCTGGTACCTCAGACTCCGTCTTTGATGCCACCGCCACGGCAGTATGGACCGGTTGTGCCAGGGTGGTTTGCAGGCCTCCTCAATCAGTCCCGAAGAGGGGTGGTCCTTATGTTCGTGCTGGCCGGCGGGTTGCAGCACGCCCGGCCGATGTGGAATCGAATGCTACGGCTGCAGACTCCTCTGGAGTTTCTCAGGATTTGCCCCCTCCAGAGAGATACCTCGAGCCGGTGCCAATGCGTCTGCAGCTTTTCTCATCCGCTGGCAGGAGGCTCACTGGTCGCGGCCTCGAGATACGCAACCAGGTGACACCAATGTCGTATGGGGATATGGAAGAGGAGCCGGAGACTCCTCAGCCACCTCCTGTGGTGGGCGGCCCCGACAGTGTGGATCGGACCAATTACGGAGTCGATCCCGAAACCCCTCCGATCTTTGGGGCAGATTATGCAGTTGTGGCTCCGGCCCTCTTCTTGCAGAACTTGCACGATGTTGCTGTGAGCGCTGCTCCAGAGATGGTGGATCAAGGTGCTCTTACCGAGAACCTTGTGGAACAATGGGAACGACGCCGACTCCAGCTGCAGATTGCCTCGGTGTATTGGTTTTGCGGGATCGAAAAATCCCAGATATTGGACATCTTGCGAAATGCCAGTGCCAGTGCTCCTTTGAGCCTCGAGGAGACCTTGGGATTCAAATGCTTGGTTCGCTGCTTTTCGGTGGCGGAGGGACTTCACCCCTCCGAGCATATACCTGTGATGGGTGCACTGGAAGCCGCGTGGGGAGCAGGGAGTCTTCCACGGGTTCTTGGAGTGCTTTCGCACTCCCTCCTTCGAGAGATGAACAGCGGCGGCGGCCGCCAAAGGACCCAGCTCCCATACTTGTGCAAGGTGCATTTTATTGCGGAGATTCGCCGGAGGATGCCTCCGCCTTTACCCACCGCTCCGGTGGGAACGGACAATATGAACGATGGGGACAACGCCGACGTGGACGACATTCCACCGCCCCTCGGGACTTTTGCGAATCCCCTTCCGTCCTCCGCTCCTGCTTTGGCCATGGAGACGACGCCAATCGGCCCTTCTTCGTCTATGGTGCAGCCTGCAGGTTTTCCGCGTGGGATAACAAGAGCGCCCCGCCTTCTTCGGCTCCTACTTTGCCCCCGGCTACCACCTCGAGGCCTCCGTTGCTGGAAGCGACAGCGCCGCCGTTTCCACCTCCTCCGCCGGCGCAGGAGGATGCAGTGATTTACTATACGCGGCTGTTGCGGCAGCTAGAGAGGACGATCACCCTGATGGAAGCCTTAGGCCAGCCGGTTCCAGATTGACCGTACTCACATTTGTTGATCCTCCAGTCCAAGGGAGGAATTCCCTCGGCAAGGCCGTCAGCTGTAGCAACGGGATCAGGGGAAGCACGTCCCGCAACGGGATCAGTGGAACCCCGTCCTACGTCTGCTCCCGTAGACTGGGACGATATCTGAGGGGTGTGTTGCTGTGGAGCGCTTTTCTTCCAGAAGAAAGAACCGCATCAGTAGTGCATGTGACCGTTGCGAGGATCACGGAATTTTCTCTTCGAAGCTGTGCTGAGGTCTATCTGCGATACGGGGGATTGCGGCAATTACTGAGAGTTCCTTTCAGGGTTCTGGGTGGCAACTTTCCTCCCAGGCTCTCAGAGGCGGTTTTGGGCCCGAAAGGCTGGTTTGGCCTCTTGACCCCGATTTTCCAGAGATCCCAACAGGAAAATTGACAGTTCTGGGGTTTATCTCCAGGGCTCTGTTTGTGATTTGGGACATGACTACTTCCTGCATCTTTGAAGCTTTATTCTTGAGTTTCTTTGGATGCTGCTCGGGATTGCTTCTTCCTTTGGTCTTCTTATGCATTCGGGTGAAAAGCCCTCGAAGGACCAGGAAACGCTGCAGCCGAAGAGGTCGTCGATTGCTTCGTAGTGGGGCTGTCTTGATTGGACGGTCTGAGTTGGTAGGAAGATATGTCATGCTGTGTAGATCAGGTCAGCTTGGTAGCTACGTTTCACTTTGCGGCTTGCGTGATGTAGGTTGTCGAGTTGAGCGTGTTGAGCATGATGTTTGTCGTGTGCGCGCGCTCCTTGGCCCTGCTGTTACGTTGCTGCGTGGCTTGCCTGTTGTTGTTGACTTGGAGAATGAAGGAGGAG